ATCCAAATTGTTTAAACCTCCTTATTATCACAAGGGGTGATAGTGAGTCCATTCCCATGAACATGAGAAGTACTGAATTTATTTATTTGTTTCAAGGATTTATATCCCACCTTTCTCCCACAATGGGATTCATGGTAGGGATTCAAATTTACAACATGAAGCTGTGTTACCATCTGTCAGACCAGTGACCTATATGGATCAATGTTATCTGTTGCAAGCTACACTGGCTCTCCAGGGTATCAATCAGAGAATATACTGCCCTGGCCCTACAAGTCCCTGACATGCTTTTAAAAATAGAGAAACTGAAGGCAGAATATTGGCTCTGCTACTATTTCACCTACAGAATAATCAATGTATAGTCTGGTTTACAGATTACAGTCATTACAAATTACAGCAATTCACAGAGAGAACAGCAATGACACCACAGCCAGCACCTGTTAATACTGCACAGAGGGAGGCATGGTAAACTCTCTTTTGAAGTTTTACAACAGAAACCTGATGATGAGACAATCTATAATGAAACAGGGGAAAAGGTTAAGAAATGTACAAGGAACTAGTAGGGTGGAATAACTACTGTATATATTCATGTATAAGTCTAGAAATTTTAGTTAAAAAAATGACCCTAAAAAACTGAGTCGACTTATCCACAGGTCAATGTAAGTACTGTACTTTACCTCTTATTTAAAAAGGAACCATCCCCTGGTGAAGAGCAAGAACATAATCTTTCCTGGAAGCACTGATTCCCCACCCCTCTCCTCCATCCAGCCTTTAGTGTGATCACAAACAGTTATGCCTAATGGAATTTTCTAAATTCTTTGGCATAATTTCCCTTTGCTTCATCCTTTAGATCCTTTGTTACATGCCTATAAGTTTTACCCTTGACTTATCCATGAGTCATATCAAAAGCCATAACTTTGGGCCCAAAATCTGCCATTGACTTATACATGAGGGGCTAATGACTTGACTGAACTCAAGCTGAAAGGCAGACCAGCTTTCACTGTGCATAGAAGCAAAAAGAAAGTCGAATGCTGCACAACCCAAATTATAGAAACATGAAATGTGAGAAGCATGAATCGAGGGAAGCTAGACATAGTAAAACAAGAAATGGAATGTATCAACATTGTAGTATTAGGAATGAGCAAATTAAAATGGACAGAATGGGACATTTTGAGGCAGATAATTACAAGTGTTTTACTCAAGAAATCTAGGAAAAATGGGGTGGTATTAACAAGGAGGTGAGATGTAGCAAAAACAGTCAAAAGATATAATGCAAAGTCTGATTGAAGCATACCATAAGACTTTAGGGGAAACCCATTCCTATAACCATAATCCTAGTTTCTGCTCAGAGGCAAAATAAGAATCAAGCAATTCTGTGCACAAATCCAAGAAGAAATAGATCACACATCAAAACAGAACTTCTTACTAATCATAGATGACTGGAACACACACACACATAAAAATGGAAATGGAAGAATCAAAGATCATAGGAAAATTTGGCCTAGATTCAAGAATGAAGCAGGAAACAGGCTGGCTGAATTCTGCAAGACCAACAATTTGTTCATTGGCAATGCTTTTTTTCAAGCATCCCAAGAAGTTACTGTATACATGGACAGCAACTAATGGCCAAATAGACTACATAATTGGAAGCAGAAGATGGAGAAGTTCCATTCTCTTTGCAAAAACAAGGCCAGGAGCAAACTGTGGCATATGAACTACTAATAGCAAAATTTAAGAGTAAAGCTAAAGTACACTAAACCAACTATCATGCTGAAGGAAAATTTAAACCCAAGAGTGGGCATGCTCTATGACCAGCAGGGAAACACATTACATGACAAAGAAAAAAATAGAATGATGATGAAAAGAATACATGAAAGAACTACATAAAAGAGATGAAAGGATATAGAATGAGATGCTTTTGATGTTGCCAATGTGTTTATGTATGTATAGATATGTTTTAGTAATAAAATGGTTTTTTTTCTTAAAAAGAAGAAAAGAAAGGATAACAGATTCATGTAAAGAAGAACTGTGTGAGGACAAACCTCCAGTTTTAAAAAGTGAAGCAAGAGCTACACTCAGAGCACTAGAGAGAAATAAATAATCAAGAACAGGCAGTCTACCAGTAGAGTTGCTTCTAGCTATAGAGACAGAATCTACTCTAGTTCTAACTAAAATCTGTCAATAAATTTGGAACACAAAACAGTGGCTCACAGATTGAAACTTTCAGTATGCATTACAATCCCTATGAAAGGGAATACCAGGGATTGCACAGGACCATTGCATTAATTTATCATGTAAGCAAAGTGATGTTCAAAATTCTACAACAAAGACTTTCAGCATATAAGAAATGTTAGTGGTTCAAGCTGGATTCAGGAAAGGAAAAGGCACTAGGAATCATATTACAACATATGCCAGATTATGAAGAGCACCAACAAATTCCAAAAGAAAAAGCCTGTGCTTTGTAGAGTATAGCAAAATTTTTGATTGTATATATCATGAGAAATTGGGTCTTTCTTAAAGAAATAGGTGTGCCACAACATTTGATTGTCCTTATGTGTAACCTGTACTTAGGACAAGGTTTCCAAGTGACAAGAGGGTCAGAGAAAGCTGTATCCCATCAGCCTGTCTGTTCAACTTGTATGCTGAAAATATACTTAAAGTAGGATTAAACTTGGAAGTCGGAGGTATGAAAACTGAAGGAATGAGCATCCATAATCTAAACTATGTGGATGACCCAATACTACTAACTAGCAAAAGATTTGATAAAAGATTTGGCAATATTATTGAAGAAAGTCAAGGCAGAAAGTGCAAAGGCAGGTTTGCAGCTGAACATTAAGAAAACAAAAATAATGATCAGAGGTGAGCTACACAATTTTAAAGTAGACAGTGTAGTCACTGAAACAGTTCAAGATTTTTCACACTTGGCTCAGTCAACAATCAGAGTGGAGACTGCAGTGAAAAAAGCAGAAGACTTCAGCTTGGAAAGGTAGCTATGAAGGAATGAAACAAGGTCCTGAAGTGTAAAAATATATCACTGAATATCAAAGTTAGGATGGTCCATTCCCCATCTCTGTGTATGGTTGTGAAAACTGGGCTGTGGAAAAAGATGATAGGAAGAAAATCAATTCATTTGAGATGTGGTGCTGGAGAAGAGTTCTTTGAATAACACACTAAAAAGGCCAAAGGATGGGTTCTAGAGCAATTCAGGACTGCACTATCCCTAGAAGCAAAGGTGACTAAACCAAGGTTGTATTTTCACCATGTCATGAGAAGACATGACTCACTTAAAAATACAGTAATGCTTGGTAAGGTAGAAGGCCATAGAAGAGAGGAAGATCACATTGTTCTTCTATCAAGGAACCCACAGTCCTGAGTCTGCAAGACCAGATCAGGGCTTTTGAAGATAGTGTGACTTGGAAGTCTCTCATTTATAGGGTTCCCATAGGTTGAATTCAACTTGAAGGCAGTTAACAGCAAACCTGTTTTTCACCACTTAAATCACATAATTATGGGGGGGGGGGGAACAGGCAGGAGACTTTGCATAAGTGGTGACCAGAAGACAGAAAGAAAGGTCAGGTGCCACAGGTAGCTTGCTGTGAGATTTGCAGTACGTTGGCAAAGATTTCTAATTCCCAATTATTTCACAATACCAGCAACAAAACCACACAGCCCTCCTATGGTAAAATGGGAGAGAAAGATTTTTGCAAAAAGGTGATAAAGAGGCATTGATTTTTGTGTGAGATGAATGAGAGCTACAATCAGTTCTGGTATTCAGCACATAAACAAGTAAAGTTCTGTGCTCAGAATGGTATGATTTATTTTATTTTATTTTATTTTATTGCACTTGGTTCTGGTTGGAGGATCTCAAAACTGTAGTGAAAGAGAAAGCATTTTCCTATGATTTTGAAGAAAATCTTCCCACTCTTGGCGCAAGAAGAGGGAAACTCAGACCTAAAGTATATGGGTAAGGAAGCATGACTAGAGAGTACCAGCCATGACTGATAAGCAATCCTGATAAGGGAGGATTCCTGATCACAAGAAGAAACCTCCTTCACAGCCCTTCTGCATTCAGAAAATCACTTGAGGCATTTAAGAAACCTCTGTCTGAAGTTCTCTGCCCTCTGGTAGTTGCACAGAAACTCACTCAAGGCTTTCTATGTACAGTTTGGTTCCAGGACCCCCCCCCCCAATAAATACCAAAATGCATGGATGCTCAAGTCTCATTATATACAATAGTTTGGCAAAACAGTGTCCCTTATATCTAATGCCATAATGAAGACTTGGTTTTTGGATTTTTCTTTGGGGAGGAATATTTATTTTATTTTATTTTATTTTTATAAATTTTATTTAGATATCCATTAAAACAACACAATTACAGAAAAAAACCCCACAAAACTTAGCATACAACACAATATATCACACATAATAAAAAAATAAGAAAAAACACACATATCTATCATAATCTATACATTAATGCTATGAGAAGTGTTACACTTCTCATAGCATTAATGTATGGATTATGGTAGTCTATACATTATCTATAATCTATACATTAATGCCATAATCTATACATTAATGAATCATAGAATCATAGAGTTGGAAGAGACCACAAGGGCCATCCAGTCCAACCACCTGCCATGCAGGAACTCCCAATCAAAGCATCCCCAACAGATGGCCATCCAGCCTCTGCTTAAAGACCTCCAAGGAATGCTATGAGAAGTGTTTTGGGGGGGAGAAATATTTTAACATTGTGAATGGTTAAATCTGTGGATATGAAAGGCCCACTGTATAGAGAAAAAGGAGAGCCATTTAACCTTAGTATGGTGGGGTTTTAAACTGAGAATGCTCAAATATATGCATTTATTCAGTTTTTAATTGGATGTTGTCTCTCTTGTTCTAGCTCTTTCATTTGATTTGATTTTTATGTGCTCTGTCCTTTTTCTGACTTTCTTAATGTAAGCCATCTCACACTTTCTTTTAGGTGAGGTAATAATACATAATAATATATGGTGTAGTAGTGGTTTGCATGTTGGACTATGATTCTGGAGACCAGGGTTCAAATCCCTGCTTGAGCATAGGAACCCACTGGATGAACTTAGACAAGTCACACTTTCTCAGCCTCAGGGCATAGCAATGGCAAACACCCTCTGAAAAAACATGCCTGGCAAACCCCATGCTCACCTTAGGGTCACCATAAATTTTAAAAGAAATGACTTGGAGGCACACAACAACAGCAGAAGCAGCAACAACAACAATTTAATAAATAAATAAATTCCACATTGCTTTGTACCACATTTGTTTCAGTCTACATTCATATATCATGTCCCCCTTATAACACTGTTTTGTACTGCATTCATCTCAGTGAACGTTAACTCATTCAAAGTACCGTAATTTTTCCCTCTTAAAAAACATAGTGTCTCAAGCATATGAAACAATTGCAAGTTTGTCTAAGTTGCTCCACTTTTTAAATCGCACTTCAAAATCTTATCTCTAATTGTGAGTAGTTTAGAAATCACAGCTCAGATTTTAGAAGGCTAGTTATTTTGTTTCTGCCTCATATTTTTTTCTCTTGATCAGTTAATGTGAGGAGGAGAGCTTTTGGAAAATTGTATCTCAACATGAGAAAACGTGAAGGCAGCAGTTACCATAGCAATAAGAGCCTTGAAAAACCTCTCAGCGCAATGCTGTTGGTAATCAGCACAAAACAGTTAAAATAAGAAAAGGGAAATGAGCTCTGTCCCAGAGCATCAGAAAGAAAATATGATGGGACAGTTAAAATTTGTTGCAAAAAGGAGGCTCTGTTTCCCAAATGCAAATCAGTGCGTTTCAAGATCACTAGCCAAAAGAAGTAAGATTTTCACTCCTGAATACTATGCTAGTGGTACAGTGGCGCAAGACAGGATCGCACAAATTGTTCCTTTTAAAGGATGTAATAAGAATTTTATAGGAAGTGGCCTGATATTGAGTCAATGTCCAAAATAAAAACAGAATACATTTCTTATGTGTACAGTGGGCCCTTGGTATTTGCTGGGGTTTGGCTCTAAGACACCCACCCCCCATGGATAACAAAATCTGTGGATATTCAAATCCCAATAAGTACAATGGCATAATAAAACAGTGTCTCTAATTAAAATAGCAAAATCAAACTTTGCTTTTTGGAATTTATATTTTTTATTAATATTTTCAAGCTGTAGATGCTTGAATTCATGGACAAAGTATCCATAGATATGGTGGACTGACTGTATGTATGTGATATCAAGTCACCTGTTTGAACCCTTGGATTTCAGAGATGGTTTTGCCACTGCCTTACTCTGAATATAGCCTACATCATGTGGCACCCAAGTGCTAACCTGGCTTGACCCTGCTTAGCTTCCAAGATCAGACAGGTGCCTTCTTGGTATTTAGTCTTTTTATTTCAATGTGTATTCAAAATATTTAAGACTATAAACTATTTAGAAAAATGAAAAGGAATGAATGAGTTGAAACAAATTTCATTTGCTAAACTCACTGGGTGACCCAAACTTTAAAAATGCACATGCACATACATACACACACAGGGACAGCTGCTTGCAGGGCACATATCAAGTTGCACCTAGCTCTGAAAAGAGGGAGTTTATCCATGAGGCATGTTTAAAAAGCATTGCACGAGTGGGGGAAAAATTAAATTATCTTTCACAGCCAGAGGCCAGATAAACTTGGTGAAACTGATGGGTCTGGTAAGTCTCAACACATCTTTCCATCCTCATTGAGGAATGAATGATGAAAATCCTAAATAATTTCTCCAGTCCTTCTCTTTTTAAGGAGGTGTGCGTGCCAACCAGTACTGCCAACCAACATAATTTCTTATTGGTCACATTCCAATTGCTAATCCCAAATAAAGTAGAACTACTGGACCCATAAAAGGGAAGAAAGAGGGAAAGAGGTTGTGGAGGAGTAAAAAAATATATATATCTAGCAGCACTTGAGATTAACTGATTTATTGTAGCATGAGCTTTTGTGGGTGACTTTGGGCAAGTCACACTCTCTCAGCCTGAGGGGAAGGCAATGGCAAACCCCCTCTGAAGAAATCTTGCCAAGAAAACCCCATAATAGGATTACCTTAGGGTTGCATAAGTTGGAAACAACTTGAAGGCACACAACAAGAACAAATTTATGGATATCAATTCACTTCTTCAAATGGGATGATATAACCACAGGTATTTAAGTACAGTTGTAGGGACCTTATCACACACTGGCCACGAAGCGAAAAGTAACTGAAATAAG